ATTTTTAAGCTGTTTACTCACAATTCAAAAATTTATATTAAAATCTGATTATTTTTATTATACTGTTATCTAATTATTATTAAAATATAATTTAATAATTGTTACTAAAATAATTATTATTAAAATATAATTTAATAATTGTCCAATATTTCCGTATGTGAATAATTGATCTGCATTCTTGAATAATATTTGCATTTATTTATTAAATATTTGATTTTTCAGATATTTGGATATTCAAGTCTCTTTTGTTGAAATAAGTGAAAGATATATATAATGGATTCAAGTAAAGGTCACATATATATGAATAGAAAGGTGAAAGACGATATCTTAATATCCATGTATTCTATTGAAATATTTGATTATAATTATAATTGTCCTGCAATAAGATGCAAATTTTGTAATATATATACTTACGGAAATGCTCGATGGGAAGAAATGAAATCCCACTTAATTGATCATAAAAAAGGTACTGATAGTACCACATCGATGGAATTTCGATACAAATTTCTATGGCGTTATATGTCTACACAAAATAAAAACCATGATTTAATATGTAAATATTGCAACCAAGTAATGTCATATAAAAATATTAAATATTTAGAAAATCATTTATTTATGCATCGACGAATAATAATAGACATACGCAATGAAATTAACCAAAGTTGGATTGGGAAACATTTTATTTCCGACAATTCAATCCGATTTACTATGACAAAATGTACTATTTGCGATCATCCTCTTAGCATATCCCTAGGAATACATGGATTACAACACCACCTGTATTATTTTCATAATATGTGTAAAAATATAACAGCTAACACAAGTACAGAAAAAAATAATTTGGATCTAATGTTACAACAATACCTACCTGAAGGTAATAATATAATTCATTGCCTGATTAAATTTTATGTTTATTAGTGTATTTTTTATTTAATTATTTTGTATTGTAGGTTTAACTGACGACGATCTAAATATAGATTATATTATGGATTCTGAAACGATACCAACGGCGGAAGATCTTTGTAATATGATAATATAAGTGATAATATGACAAAAGATTTCTTGACAAATATATTATATTTATTTTGCGTTATTATTTAATAAAACGATAATATAAAATAAATTCTTTCTAATACATAATAATTAATAAACAATAATGGATAAATAATAATTATTTTATAATTTTATAATATATTTTATAATTATAATAATTTATGTCTATATCCTCAATCTATATCACAATTAAGTAAAGAAAAATATTCAGAAATTAAAAATTATATTGCCTAAATAAATTTTTATTACTAAATTAATGTCATTTTTCTTATTATGAGCGTGTTTTGTAATCAAAATTTTCAACTAAAAAACATAACTGAAAGTACAGTAATACAACTTGACTGTTTGAGACACTTCAAATTATTCAATATATCAATATTTACATGTTAGGAAAGATTTCGTATCGTTTTCGCCAGTTTTCGAGATCAAATCTTTTGTATAATTTTAATACATGTATAGTCATACTGAATAAAACTTTAATTATTATATTTTTAACAGACAGGTTTTTTGCAATTTTATATGGAACATTGCGTATTTTTTAAACACTCTATTAAAAACAAAGAGTTTTAATGCAGCGAGTAAAAATCCTCGAGTGGAATACTCCCATATTTTCAACAATGTCTAGCGCCAAATGCTCTCCTTATCTTGCGCAACATATTAGAAAACGAGTTTTGCGAGTGGGCCACAGCATCCTACGCGAATCGCAAGTGGGAAAGATGTCTGCGAGAAGACGATAATGACTACTCCCGGCGAGGAATCCCGCGCAAATTACGACCACGCTTCTACGATTTCTCGATCGAGTATTCTCGATCGAGAATTTCTCGAGTATTTCTCGATCGGTACACCACGTGTACCGCGATATTCCATGCCGTACGAGAATGTCGCAAATGTGTGCGAAGCGTCGTCGCGACAAAATGGGCATCTATATATACACATTACGACGGAGGTTACAGCACCGGCAATAAAAGTCGCTCGCGACACTCATCGAGAGGAAAGGGTGGAGAACGAGAGCGAGAGCGAGAACGAGAGGAAAAGAGAAGTGTTGTAATATAGAAGGAAACGAGGATATATAATTTATATGTCGTAATATAGAAGGAAACGAGGATATATAATTTATATAGGTCTTAAAGGATTGCACAAGAAATGGCTAGTCTGTCAAGACGACAGGACGAGGACGGTGACGGTGGCGCCTCGTGATTCGACGCGCCTTATCGTCATGAAAACAACATGTCTAGTACGAGATACAAAGGATCAACAAAGAGCCGATCGAGAATCATGAAATCCGATGTTGCAATTGCGTCGCGCCGGCGATCGTAATGTCGGCTGATAAACTAGATAAAGCTCCGAGATCAAATTACCGATACATCTAAAATTGCGCAATAAGAAGAAAATAAATATTATATCTATAAAGATATTTGAAATATTCTAAACATAATTTTAGAAATGTAACTATAATCATTTAAAAAAAGATTAATATTCACGATATATTTTAATTCAAACAGAATTCACGATTCAAACATTTTCGGAAGCAGATGCAAAAATTAATTTTTATCTTTCCATAAATTCACACTTATATTTTGGAGAGACAAAATATGTTTAATTTAAAATTACTATTTTTACATTGCTAATTAGAAAAATTTACGCTATTCGAGTTGACGTAGATCGCGGCTTCTTTATCGTCAATTATGTAATTTATCGTTCGATTTGGTCTGATAATTCGCGCTTTCGTTCTACGTCCTCATTTCTTTACAATGTAAGATCATACAGTTGCGGATCTTCTTGGCGATAGAGTTATTACGCGATGATTACTCCGGAAACACTATAATCTCGCCTTACGCACCGGCAATGAAGACGATAAAAGTGGACAGAAACGTTACATTCGGCACGCAGTCACCACAATTTCACTCGAAACTTATTTTATATTTCACCTGGTCTCGATATTGTGAATTTATAATATCGAGATCAATTTCGTAGAAAGTTAGTCGAGCGCGGATTTCAAATGACTTCCCGATATAAATGGAAAAACGTCCACGACCCCCCGCTCCCCCTCAGAAAACGAGCAAGAAGAATGTAATATCCCGCGAGAATGATCATCAGAGTAGCCTCTATGTTGTGAATCACTGACTCAACCGTAGGAAGTGCATTTTCGGACCTCCTTTTTATCACAATCCAATCAAAACGACGGCAGAAGTTACGACGATATCATTGCAGCTACCGCAGATCCGCCGAAGTAAAGGCGAAAGAAGAAAGTCCCCGCGGCTGCAATTATACCTCGGTTTCCTCTTGCAATTCAAGGTCATCAAATAAAGCGCCGAAGACCATTAGTAACACTTTCATTTAAACTTTAAGCGTTACTATACTCACGAAACCGCGTAATCTCACGTTACGCTCAGACAGTAACTAAGGTTTTTACACCGTTTCGCAATTGCAAAGTATAATTTGAATGCAATATAAGATCCAACGTAATATAACAAGCTTCATAGAATCGATTCTCTAGCTACTTGAGCTGTAATTTTACACGATTATTTGTTATTGACTTGATTGCTCCAATATCAATTAGTATTCTACAAATATCGCTATTACTTTCGCATTAAATTATCATACAAGCGTTTTCAATTTTGCGCGCAATCAACACAACAGCAATGTAAAGAGCGCAAACTGTTTGAGTTTCCAAATTTGGATCTATAGACGCGGTGGTCTTGCGCTGAAGGCCAAATTCCAGCGGTAGCCTCGCCGAGAAAATAATTACAAAGTAACGAGAGAACACGGCAGAACGATGAGTAACGACATCCATGCGAGCAGAGGTATGGCGGTTTAACGTCAGCGAAATATCGCCGGGATTATTCATTGGCCCATGGTGGACCTGATTGGAGATGAGCGAACTCGATAAGGGCCCTCGGGCCTCGCAAAAGAATTTTCAGGTCTGGGAGCAGGTGTCGCGTACAGACAACCTGTTTCAACACCGACAAGAGAACTTGCAACTCGGTCTTGTCGTTCCCTACAAGCCACTGAGACGCGATCCAATAAGCCGCTTCGTATAAATTTTCTCTGAGTAATGCACGAAAGCGGGCTGGCGATCGTAAGTAAATCTCGCGCGATCCTGAACGTGATACTTTCTTGACGTTGATAAATTAAAAAAAAGATGACAATATATATCTGCTGCATTTATATATTTCATGCATAAATCTTTCCTATAATCATTCAATCCATTAAGAAACAATCTTCAATAATATCTATATTTTATATTTCATTAAATATATTTGTCTATATACTAGTAGAGAAGAAAAATAATTTAAAAAAAAATGAAATGATTTAATATTTCTTCAATTATTATATTTATAGAGCTAATGCTTTTCAATGCGAATTTATTCTTCAAAACGTTAAAGTGTTACCATTCCAGTGAAGCTTTTCCGACAATTATTTTTTTCTCGACTATACGTATACATATCATGGCAATAGTGCTAAAATACGAACTGTATAAACAGAACATACCGTACATCATACAAATATTTATAAGACATGTGCATGTGCGGTGCAGCCGATACGTTTCGCAAGGGTCTTACGACGAGCATTGGTAGCGAGCGTGATCCATGGTTCGTGCACTTCCTGTAGGATGAAGCGTTCGCCTTCCTACCGTGACCTATGAACCTTCGACACGCTTTTTTCGCAGACAAAATAGATCGCTCGCACGAGAGAACGCACGAAGATCGAAAGCGTATATAGAAGGAAAACGTCTGAGAAAATGTTTTGTAGGGAATTTATCAAATTTTAAAAATGTATTATCTAATTATCCTCAAACGAAAATGTTGTATTAACTTCTCTTTCTGCTATCTACTATTCAATCCTATTATCTGAAATAGAAGAGATCATCCTTTACTAAATATTATTATTCTAGATTTTTCAAAAAGTACTTTCCATAATTTGATCTTAAAAAATACTCTATACACTTGGTGTTGAAATTTACCCAAATGTATAGGCAACTTTCCCAATATGCGTGTAAATTTTTATTTGACATTTTAATGTCAAAGATAAAAGCTGATAAACTGCCCTCAAAGAAATAATGAAACTCAATGAAATTAATTAACCTTATTAGACTATGTTTATGCGTATTTCTGCAAATGATGACTTCACGGTTTGTACGGAGATAACCGGGAATCGTGCGGTTCATTCTCGCGCGCCGTATTCGAGCCTCGTATAGCAATCCACGGCGAAATATTTATCCAGCTGGTATCAAAGTCAAGGCCCCTGTGGCCGCGAACGCTAGAAAATACAGGGTGCGATTTATTATTCTGAAACGCTCGGTGCGCGCGGGTAAATACATGGGGCCTGTCACGGGCCAGCCGATGGAGTTACGATATGAGATTCTATAAGGAGAGCCGAGGAGAGGCGCTAATCGAATCGACCGTCTCGGCCCGTACCAAGCTAAGCTGCGTGCACATAGTTTATCGCCTTTACGCCTAATTACCAAGTTAATTACCGATACAGGCCCCGATGCACGCGTAAAGAATTTGATGCCGCGTTCAAAGAAGCGCTGGACAAGAGAGAGGCCGTTCTCGGATCTAAGGCGCGCGCGATTATCACAATTAATGAACGATTATGTTATCTACTTCCCTCCCCCTCCCCGCCCCCACCTTGTCCTTCCTCCTTTGCTCTAGCCTCTTCTTCAACGAGGGAACTTCTCAATCTCTCCTAACGGTCGCGCGCGATTCTTCGTCCTTCCTCTGACCATAATCTACACCCATAACTCCTCCGTAATAGTCTCCTCCCTCCCACCGTTTCGTCTCGAACCGGCTCTGTCTTTCCGTCGAGTTTATGATAAACGCGCCTTAAATCAGTCACAGTGTATTAGCGGTGCTGAAGGCGGATTACGGGGCGGAAGATAAACTCTCTCAAGGTCGGCGCGATCCAATAACGTGGGAATTTGCGCGCACGAACATGCCGCCGCGCCCCGTCGATGCAATTAAACTCGCGAGCTCTTCAGCTCGATTCAATTAGCAATAATTGGCGAATTGCACCTCATGCCGCGCCGCGCGATAATCGCCGTGTTT